GGAGCTCTTTGGCACTTTGGGGGCCTCCTGGTGTGGATAAAACCAGGCTGAAGCCCCAGTGTGTGCCCAGATATGAGCCCAGAGGGACGTGGCTGGAGTGCCACAAGTGCCACCAGGACCACCCTCACCTGGAGCCCCCCCAAGGAGCAGGAGCAGGGCGGAAAATCCGCGTTTGTGTCCCGTGTGGACCCTGCCCATGGAAACCTCCTTTGCAACGGAACTTCCCGTGGCCAGAGCCACCTGCCCGTCCCAGGGGAACATCCAGTCCCCCTGCAGGAGCCCTGCCTGGGTGGCCATGGTGACAGAGTGTACACAGAGGGTGCAGGGCGTGGGGCTGACCCACGGCACGGGCTGGGGACACTCCGAGAAGAGCCGGGACATTCCTCGGGAACCATCCCCGGGGGAACGTCTGCCAGGGACAGGACACTCTGCTGGGTGCTCTGGGGAGGGAATCCAGAGGGAAGCAGCTCTCCCTTTTTCAGCATTTTATTCCAGGTGCAGGATGATGGCAAGGTCAGCTGCCTGGGGGTAAGTCCTGGATTCCTTCTGTGCATTTTAACACGAAGGTGTTTGTGGGTGAAGGCTGGCAAAACTGATTAATCTGCAGGCAAACTTATCCTTGTAAACCTCTCAGACCCTATCTCATTCCTGATTTAGCTTGATAAATCCCCATAAAATTGTTTTATTGCATTATTAATTGCATACACATCTGATAGACACGGGACATAATTGATTCTAATTCCTTACATCATTGATTCTCACTCCCTACACACACTCAGCTTGTTCTGCAGGGCAGATTTACTGATTTCTCTGGCTACCACAAATTAGTGCAAAAGGTTTGAGTAGCCTCACATCTGACTGACAGCACGATCTGTGCTCCTGTATTTTTTGGGGGGGAACCAGTGAAATTCTGTCAGCCTGAAAAACCTTCGAATGGCAATTGCATGAATCCCAAATTATAGCAAAACAGCAGCTGTATTTGTCCTTCCAGCTCTGGACTCAGCTACCAGCAAGGACTCCATGCCGAGGTTTTCCTCATCTCCCCTTTCCATTGTGCTGCACGATAATAATTTGTATTTTAGTATTTAATTGCTTTGTCTTTGCACTCTTGAAATTATCTTTGTGTTGCATTCACTGCAGTTTTAATTATTAAGCACAATTAATTTGTGGTATAAAGGCTTTGTATTTAGTAGAATAAGGGTGATATGACCAATGTTCTCCATTATTGTTAATTCCTTATTATTTTAAAAGCAAGAGTATATTAATATAATTATTGGCAGTGCTTTCTTTGTGTTCTAGGTTTGAATTCCACGAGCCCACGAGCAGTGCTTGGTTTGTAGGCAGTGTAATTAGCTGATTGTACCCACTGCTCCACAATCACTAACTTCACTGCCATCAAAACAAGGCACAGGATTCCCTGCTCCAACCCCAGTCCGGAAAACTGCACTATAAATCCTCCTTACCCTCATTCCCGGTGCAAAATTATTGATGATATTTATTTGCAGCATTATTTCCAGAATTTTGCCTGTCCAACAAGGGTAGGAGCTTTCCTGGACCTGTCTGTTGTGTTTAAATTGGTTATCTCAATTGCTTATGCACCAAGACTGGGCTAAGGATTTTTCTTGGTTGCATCCTTCACATATTGGGAAGAAAAAAATTTCATTTACTTTTCATGTTTTATTTAACCACCCAGCAAGTGAAGGGGGTTTTAAGCAATGATTAAATATTAAACTCACTGGATGGATAAGTGATTTCTACTCTGACCACTTGGCTTAACGTTCAGGAATTTCAATAATAGTGCTGGAACCTGCTGTGGGAGGGTGGTTTGTTTTTTTAAAACAAAATCCCAGTTTTTATCCAAGTAGGGGCTGGAAGGCTTTCCATCAGCCTGGTTGCCAGGCAGTGTAGTTAGCTGATTGCCCAGAGCAACAATCACTAGCCACACAGCCAGGTAAAAAGGTGTGGAGGATCATCTCAGCGGGAATTCTGATGGCACAAAACAGAGGCATCAACAGGATAGTGGTTTAGGCAAGGGAAATGTGCTGGGTTCCTGTCCCAGGCAGGAGGCACCAGTGCCAGTTGTGCTGGGTCAAGCACTGGTTTGCACACAGGACACTGGAAAACAGGAGAACAAACCAAAGGGTGTTTTCTCCTCCACCTCTGCAGCCCTCATTCAGCTCCCATTCTGACCCCTCTTACAGTCAAAGGCCTCTCTTCTCACATTTATTTCCATTTATTGCTGTTGAACAAATAAAATTGAGGCCTGTGGTGGTAACTCCTTGGGGCTGGAGCCTGAACCTGAGTGGAAACGTCCTGAAGACAGAAACTGCTGCTGGAGCCCCTGCTGCCCTCGCTGGATAATCAGTGCTCCACCCAGCCCATCAACACAATTCACACCAGCAAAGGAAACTGAGACAACTACCATGAAGCTCTGTAACAACATTTCCAGCCTGACTCTGCAATTTTCTTTCTTTCTTTCTTTTTTTTTTTTTTTTTTTTCTAATTTTAGTAAAAAGTCTTGCCCATTTTTACTGAAGAGCCTGGGGTTGGGAGGCAGGCCAGACGAGAGCAATCAGCAAGAGGTGCAGGAAAAAAAGGTGCTGAGCTCTGCAGGTCTTTCCTGCAAGTCAGCAACCCTCCTTTCCCTATTAATAATTCCAAAAGGCATCCCATCCATTACCATCAATTAGTCTGCTTTCTGAATTCTGGCTGGAGCCAGCAACAGTTCCCTGAATCTCACATTCTTCTTTCATTTATTTATTTTTTTTAAATTCAGTAACAACAGATGAGAGCCAGAGCTTGCAGCCATAGAGATGACTGATTGATTTCACTGAATAAATGACTTTATACAACTACAATAACCCTAAAAAAAAATAAAAATTAACCCTCTGAGTGAAATAAGAATAATGTTCAGCTTATTATCAGTCATAAACATCACTGAGGGTTCAAATCCAGACTCCAGACCTGATTCAGACATGCAGTTCCTGCACCCCTGGAAGCTCTGTTGTCTCCACAGTGGTGCAGGGACAAATTCCCTAAGCAAGGGGGATGCTGTAGGCTCTGGGACACTGAAAGTCCAGGCCAAAGATAGCAGGAAGCAAAAAGTATATGAGGTAAATGAAGTTTAGGCCAGCTAAATATAGTTATTGGACGATTTGCAACCCCAAAACCTCAAGGATAAGAGAGTGTGTCTAAATTTCTGAATTTCACGTGCCAAAGGGATCTTCACAACCTGTTCACTGTTAGTTGTTTGATTTTTTTTCATGGCTGTCTTTTGGTTTTTATCCCCTGCAAACACTAAAACTCAGTTTATAACAAAGTTACTGAACTGGCTGCTCTGCTCCCTAAAAAGCTCTCAGAAACTTAATTGGAGCAATAAAAGGAAGAACTCCACGGAGGGATTTTTATTATTATCAGCAGTGAACTCCAGATTTACTGATATACAGTGGGTTTTGTTGGCCTGGCCGGATGTTTGTCAGGAGAATAAAATCCAGGAGTAAGAGGTTTGAATTAAATTAATGCACTTCTTTCCTTCTGCTGTAATTCCCAAGATACAAAGCAGCGATAAATGAGTTGAAGGTTAAACATCTATAGAAGAACTATATATCTGAATTAATACAATTTCATTCCCCAATTGCAGAGAGTAGAACTGAAATTTTAAAGCTGATGAGCGCAGTGATTTGAGAAATAACTTGGAAAACAAGATCTCAAAGGACACTTTCAGAAATGACGTCTTCATTTTAGACATAAAAGCCTCCCTTCTTCTTCCTCCTTATTTAAGCTCTTAAGTGGGTTCATGTTAAGTACTTCCTCTTCTCAAAGTTTATGAAAATGCTGAACCAACTATATCTGCTCTGCCCAAATTCTATGCATTTAAAGCTGGCTCTGCTTTTTATTTCCCTCAGTCTAAATAATCAGGTCCTACCTGGGAGAGGGGGAAAGATGTTCTGGATGTTACTATCATTATTGTTGCAATAACTACTCAGTTTTATCCTACACTAATATATATTATATTAAGATATAGACACTGAAATGCTGAAAGCCTGATGCTATTGTTCTGTACTTTACTTTCTATATATTTTCCATTTATTTGTAAATAGTGGCCAAGAGAAGGAAGTGGAAGCTTCAACATTTTCCAAAATTTATGAAGACCTTAATCTTGCTTTAATTCTGGCTGGAATTCTGAAAGTCGGGGAAAAGACCAGTTGACAAAGTGTTTCCACATTTCTGAAAGGGCCAGGAAACATCAGAAAGGCTGTTCCTGTTTCACAGGCATGACCCAGGCTGCAAAGCCACTGCCTGAGCTCTGAGATCCCTGACTTCTGGTGACCTGGAGAGGACAGTGCTCGCGATATCTGAAAGGACTTGCCTCTATTTAAATTACTGATTACAGAAACAGCTTCTCTAACTGAACTCCCGAGAGCAGGTCTAGGTTTGAGCTACATAAAAATCACGAATCTCTTAATTTAAAGCAAAGCATCGATCCCGGTGCTCTGTCCTGAAAAAAAAAAACCTTGGAGCCTGAGCCATAAAATCCATGGATGGAGAACGCTGCAGGAAACAGGTGCGGAGCAGCTTCCCGGCCACCAGGAAACGGGCTGGGGGGGTCACTGATGCTCCAAACCCCGTGTGGTGCTGCGCTTTCCCGAGGGCAGATGCTCATCCCGACCCAGGGAGGATGCGCCGCGGGTGGGTCCGGCTCTGCCCAAGGGGGCGGCTCCCCACGCCACGGGGAGGGTTGTGTGGGACAGGTATAAAAGCGGAGGGATGGAGAGTTTGGGAGTGGGAAAGAAGGGAAGAGCGGGGGGAAGAACGCGCCGGGTGTGGGAGCGGACAGAGGAGGCGCATCCCGAGCGCGGGCGGAGCCGCTTCCCAAGGAGCGGGGCTGAGCCGAGCCCGCTGGCCCGGAGCCCGAGGAGGGGAGGGAAGGAGAGAAGGAGGAGGAGGAGGAGGAGGAGGAGCGGCTCCCTGCCGTCCCCTCGGCCCGCGGAGCCGGGGCGATGCTGGCGGTCGCGGCGCTCTGCGCGGCCGCGCTGGGCTGCGCGGCGGGGGCGCGGCTGCTCAGCGGTAAGAGGGGTGTGAGGGGGGGATTGCCCGGAGCTGGCATCGCCCCCCCTGGCACGGACAGGGCGCTCCGGCCCCGCTGCCGCTCGCCCCTGGCGCTGGGAGGGTCGGGATGCTCGGGGATGTCGCGACACGGGGAGGATGCGGGTGCGGGGGGTGCTCGGGGGAAGGTTGGGCTCGGGGGTGGTGGTTTGCAACTTCCTCGGGAGGGGCAGGACTGAGCTCTGCTCTGCGGGGACCAGGGACAGCATCCAGGGAACGGCTGGAGCTGTGTCAGGGGAAGTTTGATTTGGATCTCAGGGAAAGGTTCTTCCCCCAGAGGGTGGCTGGCACTGAACAGGCTCCCCAGGGCAGTGGGCACAGCCCCAAGGCTGCCAGAGCTCAAGAAACATTTGAATGATCCTCTCGGACACACGGTGTGACTCTCGGGGATGGGCCTGTGCAGGGCTGAGGGTTGGACTCGATGATTCTGGTGGGTCCCTTCCAGCTCAGCACATCCTGGGATTCTGTCTCTTCCAACTTTCATGACTCTGTGATTTTTCCCTGCCCTGCCCTGGAGAGCTCACTGCAGTCAGCAGACTTTGGGGCAGATCCAGTGTAGGCAGTGAGGAGATAAGGGGGGAATACAAGGAACCCTTTCAGCACTGCTTACAGCTACACAGACAGTGTCCCTGTAACTTAAACCCTATCTGGGATCCTAAAGAGCAGTAATCAGACACTAATGAACTACAGTAGATTTTTCCTTAGCTGGAAGCAATTACAAGTTTGGCTGATAAGGCAGAGGGGAAAAAAAATCGCATTTGTGTATCAGAAACACCCTGAGTGCAGCTTGTGACAGTATTTCTAAAAAGTTAGTGAAGCTCTTTAATAACAATGTGCCATCTGTGTTTTTCTCCTGGCTTTCACAACAGCAGTGGACATATCCCTCAGGAGAGGTAAGGGGGCTTTGCCTTTCTCACCATGCCTGTATGGGTGTAAAGTTCCCAAGAGAAATGCAGGTTATGCCAGAAACGTGTTTTCTAATACTGCTGTTGTAGTTTAAAAAAAAAAAAAAAAAAGTTCCTGTTGCAACTTCTGTGTAAAATGTTAACAAACTGATTCTGACTATTGAACTGGTCAAAAATTCCAGTATGAAGGGTCCTTAAACTTTCACTCTTACAGTGGTCATGTAGGAATATTTAAAAATGAAGCAAAGGCAGCAAATAACCCACGGAGGGGTTCAGAATGACGTGTCCTCCCATCCCCTCTGTTCTGGGCACGTTACGAATGTTGCTGAATGTTTTCCCTCTGTGCAAACAGGCCGGTTAGCAGATTGTGTCTGCGAAGAAATATTTACTGAGCAGAACAAAACTGTTTGTTTCCACGGCCTAAATATTGGGGGCTGCTCCGCCGAGGAGCACACGAGTGCCTGAATCCAGATGATGTGTCTCCTCACTTTGATCTCCCCCTTGTAACCAAAATAAGCTGTGCTGCTTCTGCACGAGAAAGTCCTTGGCTTCTGACAGCCTGAAAACAGACATTTGTTTACTTCCTGGGCAGTCAGCAGCACTGCACAGAGCAGAGGGAGCTGTGGGAACACGGCTTGTTCTCCACAGTGGAGACGCCGAAAACTGAAAGAGTAAGTTTAGGTGGGATGATGGGAAGGAATCCTGCCCTGTGAGGGTGGGGAGGATCTGGCACAGGTTGCCCAGAGAAGCTGTGGCTGTCCCTGGATCCCTGGAAGTGCCCAAGGCCAGGTTGGAGCAACCTGTGATAGTGGAAGGTGCCCTTGCCCATGGAAGGGGTTGGGACTTGCTGAGCTTTAAAGTCTTTTCCAACCCAAACCATTCCATGATCCTATGACTGCAACATGCACTCCATGAAACTCCATAAACCCCGGGAGAGAAATTCTTGCTATTTCTGCTTGTGGAAGGGAATCTCTGATTTAAGCTGCTTAATTCCTTAAAAAATAACAATAAATTTAAAAAAAAAAAAAAAATCCTCTTGGAAGCCTTGCAAGAGAACTCTGTTCTGGAAAGGCTGCATATGTGAGCTTGCTCCCTGGCACAGCATTGCTTCTTTGGGAGGAACTCCCAGGCTCTGGAACTCCCAGAAAAATTGTGAGGCAGCTGAGAAGAGCAGGACGTGAAAGGACAGTGCTAAACTGTTTGATGCAGTAAGCAAAGCTTGGAGATGCCATTGCCAAGGCCAGTAACACAAGAGACCCTTCACCTGTGTTGTGTTTTCCACAGAAACAGTGCAAACCTCCCCCAGATGGAATCATTAACCCCCAACTTTGGCCCTGCAGGCAGAGCTGCTGTGACAGGTCCCCCTCCCTCCCCGCAGGACAGACAGTTTGCCGCCGTGGGACGCAGAAACCCTGCTACAAGATCGTGTATTTCCACGATGCCTCCCGCAGGACCGGCTACGAGGAGGCTCAGCGGGCCTGCCGGGCTGATGGGGGGCACCTGGTGAGCATCGAGAGCCCCGCGGAGCAGAGGCTGATCGAGAGCTTCATCAGCAGCCTCCTGGCTGCCGATGGAGACTTCTGGATAGGGCTCAGGAGGAAAAAAGATGATGATGAGGAGGAGGGCAACAGCACAGAGTGCCAGAGCTTCTACTCCTGGTCGGATGGCAGCTCAGCCAAGTTCAGGTGGGTACCCACGGGTGACACTGGGAGGCCAGAGGGTTCAGGGACTGTCACCTGCCTTCAGCAATCACAAAGGATGCTGCCAGGTGAACCAGCCCAGCTGCCATTTGTGGTGCATCCCATCCAGATATAAAGTTACCCCGCTCTGGAGACTCTCTGTTGCTCCACATGACACCTAGAGAGCTTAGCTTGGGCTAAATTGATGATTTTTGGTTGCTAAAAGGAGCGGGAAGAACAAGTGATCTGGTCTTAAAAAAATCTGATTAGGCAGCCACAAAATGACCTGAAGGTTCCTGCACTTCAGATCCCCTGGAGTTCATCCCTGAGCAATGGGCTCTTTCCCTTCTGCTTGCTGAAGGAATAACTTTTTTCCTCAGTTAAATCTGAGAGCTGCAGGATTTATTGTAGACGTGAAAAGTTCAAGTCTTCCCAACATTTCTGCCTCCTTGTCTTAAGGCAGGAGAAACCACAGCATTTGTTGAAATTAAAATATCAAAGCATTCACAACAGCATTTACACCAATTTGCATTCTTCTTTCTATTGGACGTGTAAAAACATCTTGCCAGTGACCTCCCTGCCTTGGGAGCTCATCAGGTATTTCAGTTGCTCTGTGGAGAAACGAATAAAACTGCTTCTAGTGCTGCTGGATGTAATAAAGTTCCTCCTGTGGTTCAGATATTGGGGGTGGATAATGGGAAGCTGGAGCCAGGTCTGCTGCTAAGAAACAGGCACAGCTTTTATTGCCTTTTCATTGGTGAGGCACAGCTTATTTATGCTAAATGATAAAGCCAAGGAAAACACCAGGGGAGGAAGGAAGTGAGGGAGGAATACAGCACTGGGAGGATTGAAAAAACACTGCCTTAACACACAGGGGTGTTTTCCCACGTGGAATGCCTTGGGACATCTAGAATTATCTCTGTTGCACGGGCCAGCTGAGCAGCCAAAACGTGGTTTGCTCTGAAATAGTGGGCATTAAACACTTGGCAAAATCAGCCCCAGTTTAGAAGAGTTCCTCTGAGTAGCAGAAGATGCCTCTTCAATAACAATGCTATTACCAGGGTGCTGAGCCTCCTTCCTGTGCACTCTTGGAAAAGCCTGCACAGTTGTCTAGTGGTGAAGTTTATTATTAGAACAACAACAACAACAAAAACTATCTGCAAGACGGTGCCGGTGCGTTTCTAGACAGAGAAAACCAGATCCCACTTCAGCTGTTTCATTTCCTCATCAAAGAGGGCTTGAAATTCTGCGAGGCACCCAGGCCAGAGAGCAAAAAATAACCCATGAGAGATGATTTTGCAGGGGTCTAAAATCACCTTTGGGGAAGGTCAAATCTCTCCGGAGGGGTTTCAGGCTCAGCCCTTTAACGCCCCGATTGCTGGGTTTTTCTGTGAAAAATCCGAATTCCAGGAATAAATAACTGTACTCTCAGGGGAAGGGTGGGGTGGAGGGGGTGTGCTGTGACCCCTCTGGGCCGTGTTCCCGCCTGAGCTCCTGGGAAGTGACGTCAGGTCGTTTGTGCTGGTTGTGTTTTCTCAGGAACTGGTACGTGGACGAGCCATCCTGTGGGAGTGAGATCTGCGTTGTGATGTACCACCAGCCATCTGCCCCGCCAGGTGTCGGGGGTCCTTACATGTTTCAGTGGAACGACGACAGATGCAACATGAAAAATAACTTCATTTGCAAATATTCCCTGGGTAATGAGTCATTCCGTAGCTTTGAAACCCAACCCTGGGGAGAAGGTACTGGGAGGCTGCAGGGACACAGGGAAAGCCTTTCTCAGCTTCACTGAGAGGATCTGCTGGGAGAGGGGTGTCTTTGAAAGGATGCAAGTCCAGGGGGAAGTAATCTCAGTGTTCATATCAGCAGCTTCTTTTGAGTTTGTATAAATTTTCAGAGGGTTTTTATGAAGTGTTTAAGTGTTTGAGGTCACAGGTGGGGCCTGAGGGGGAGAGGATACCAGGGGAGGGTGGTCATGTTGTTCAGTGCACTGGTCTCCCCACTCAAACTGTGCATTTCTCTTTTCTTTCAGAGAAGCCAACGAATGCTCCAGTAGAGGATCCTCACAGAGGTGAGCTTGTTTGGGAGTTACTTGTTTGAGGAGTTACTTGTTTGGGGCCCTTTTTCAGTGATGTGTTAACCTTCAGTGGGCACGCCGTGTTACACTCACGCTCAACAGACTGAAAACTCACTGAGCAAGAAGCTTCCCTGCAGTTTGCACTTTCCCTCGTGCTATTCCATAATCCCTAATCCTGTAGGAAAACAGTCTTGCTGCTGTTGATGCAGCTCACTGAAGCACAAGAGGGCTGGTACCCTTTACACATCTTTGCAGCCCTCAGTCTCTTCCATCTCCTCACCCTCACTTCTATGATTCTTAAGCTCTTTCAAAAAAACAAAAATCTGCAATATTAACGAAGCTGCTTCTTTCCAGATGTTGCCACAGAGCCCTTGAGCCCAGTGTTGCCAGGGGAACCCCGTAAGAGAGGTGTAAATGTGACAGCTGTAGGAGCCAGAGGTATGTTGTGCATCCCACACCGTCCCAGAGCAAAGCGTTCTGGGTCTGAAGAAGGCACTTTGACTGAATCACTTTGGAGTGGCTAAATTGCTGATGTTTTGTCTGTAAGTGGATGATTAACTATGAGAATCTTCCAATTTCTTCTTACCACTGACTCCTTTTCACCCCTAGAACCTGTTCAGAGCCTTGCCTACATCCTTATTCCCAGCATTCCTGTGCTGCTGCTCCTGGTGGTCATTACAGCCATCTCCTGCTTTTGGCTTTTTGTGAGGAGGTAAGTGGCTTTTTTATGTTAAAATCAACTGTGATAGCATTCCCTGGCAGTAACCTTACAGCTGGTTCTGGCACCCTGTGAGGTGCTCTGCAGAGGGCTGCTTGCAGCCAAAGAAATGTTTAAAAAGTGGAGTGGGTGCCCCAGGCTGAGTTATTTCCAAGCAAAATTTTAAGTAAATCACGTTATATCATATTACAGCGTTCACAGACGTAGTAGTCAGGGAACAGTGTAAACAAGACAGTGATTTTCATGTGGTAGCACTTCATCTTTCCTATTAAAGATTGGAATTATCGACTTGAATTATTGATTTGAATTACCAGATGCTCCCCTCCGAAAGTGAAAAATGTGGAGATAAAAGGAGCAAATAATACTTATCAACAACCTCTCCTTGCTTCCCCTGTGTGCACAGCAGCTCTGCTGGGGATGCTGGTTGTGGTTTTGGGAATGTCAGGGTTGGGTTTTGCTGCTTCAGTGTCTCCAGGTTGTGCCATGGGGTGCAGTGTGGAATGACAAATAATTCCCAATTCTATGCAGAGCCCAAGCTCTGAGGGTCAGCTTTCCTCAAGGGTCAGCATTAACTGTAAGAGATGTGGCACTGCTTTTTATTTGCCTCAGAAAAAGCCATAACAGGGTTTTTTATTCCACCCCCCCCCCTTCCCAAGGAGGGAGCAGCGAATGGACACCAGCCCGAAGGAGGAGGATGCCTGGCTGTCCAACCCCGGGGGGAACAGCCCCAGCCTGGACATCTACAAAGTCATCAACAAGCAGTCAGAAGCAGATCTGGCTGGGGCCAGGCCTGGCACCAAGAATTCCTCCTTCCAGGCACGGGAGCACAGGGAGCTGGGCAGGTCAGCCCCCGACACCTCGAGCTTTGTGACCGACAGTGGCTTTGTCACCAACGACATCTACGAGCTCTGTGGGGACCGTGTGGGCAGGAGCAAGGAGTCCACCTGGGTGGACAATGAGATTTATGGATACTGAGCAGATGGACCAAAAAAAACCCCACCTGCCCTGTCTATGCACTTGTTTTAATAACTTGTTTTAATACGTTGTGTTCATCCTGGTTTTGCATTGGGCCCATATTCTTCTCTTTTTTTTTGGTAAGAATATGGGGTTTTTAACGATCCAGACTGAAAAGAATGTATATATTTTGCTTTGCATCGAGCCCCCTTTGCCCTGGGAATGGCTTGTTAATCCTCCCGATTCACTTTTGTACCAAAGATATGCCTTGGAAGGTAAAGGACAATCCAAAATCCTTATTTATTTAACTGACCCCCTGGTCTCAAAGGTGCTAAAAGTTGCCTGTTGGGTGGGATGGAGCCCTGCTTTCCTGGAGATGGCCAGGGGGGAGCGGGGAATGAATTCCTTGGTTTGCTTTGCTTGTGTGTGCAGCTTTACCCATTAAACTGCCTTTATCTCAAACCACAAATTTTCTCGCTTTCACTCTTCCAATTCTTTCCCTCATCCTCCTGGGAGGGAGGGAGTGAGGGGAGACCAAGCACGTCAAGCATGTTTTATTACACACCTTTTCAGGTGTTCCTGGCTCCAGGAGAGAGCAGCACTTTGCTGCTGAACAAATCCACAGAGCACCTAAAATGAATTTTTAGCTCTTGACAGGGTTCCCTTAAAAGCTCGCTCTTCTCCCTTGCGTGGAAATAAATAAATAGGAAAAAAAAAAAAAAAGAAGAAAAAAAAAACCCCACAAATTTCACAAGCCACCAGGAAAACAAAGGTTTGGCAAAAGGCTGGAGATTTGGGGTGCCTGAGGCTCCCTGAGCTCGGGCAGCGAGCCGCGTGTGCCCAGCGCCTCTGCGGGGGCATCGAGGCGAGGTGATTTTAGGAATTCTGCTGTTCCACGTGTCCTCTGGAGCCTCGGAGCCGCGGGATCAGTGCGGCAGCAGTGACCACACGAGGGCATGTGCGCTCCACGTCTGGGGTTCGCCAGGAGCGCTGGGATCCCTCTCCTTGGAGCAGGGCAAGAGCCAGCGCTGGTCGCTAAAAGCTGCCGGACAAAGGATGCTTCTGTAACCTGAACCTTCGGGCTGCGAGTGGCGATGAGCTGCTGCTGGAGTTTGGTCTTCCAAGCACAAAATCTGATTTAATAATTGATTTTTTTTTTTTTTTTTTTGCACCAGGCTGAGGTTTTACACGCGCAGAAGCGGCCAGGAAGCAAATAAGTGTTTTAATACTCAAGAATTCAGTTTATAATAAAGTGACTGCGAATTAATATTAGGTAATATTTTGCATAGTGGAGAAAAAGCTACACTCAACACACCGAGCTCGAGTCTGTAAAATAAAAATGAAGCCCCTCAGAACAGAGAAATTTCACAAGTGGCACTTTGGGATGACACCACTTTCTATTCAAGTAGGATTGTGGAAAGCTTGCTCATGTACCTATCAATCACTTAAAAGGGTGGATGTCTGACTAAGTCAAGTCATCAGTTAGTCATTGCCAGAAGTTCTGAAGGGGATAAATAGAACAGTGAGAGCACTCTGGTTGTTCTCCATGGCAGCCCAAGTCAGCGGCGTCATCTCCAAATGTCACTCCTTAAAGAAATCTCATGAGCAGGGAAGGACAGGCAGGAATTTCTGCACGGAGATCTTCAGCTCCCTTTGCAGAACAGTCATCGCTGTTTGACACCTCACAAATTTAACCCACCCTTCGCAGGCACGAGGCAGCTTGACGTGTCAAACCTGTCTCAAAAAGGGAAAGCGAGAGGCACAAGTTTGTTCCTTGCGTTCTTCCACTTGTTCTTTTCGGGGCCACGCTCTGCTCTGAGCTGTGTTTGCATCAGAAAAGGGCTGTGACTGTGCTGCTGATCCAAAAGACACGAGGCCTCTTGTTCCATCAGCTGTTGGATGTGCCTTGTTTAGTCAGTGGAGCCCAGCAAAGGTTCCAGGGGTGATTCCTGGTACCCAAAATGAGTCCTCCAGCATGAGAAGGGGCAGAGGATAAGAGTGATCAGAGAGGGGCAGGCATGACCCAGGACAGCAGAGATTACTGCAGAGCTGAAATGGCATTTTTAAAAGGAGAGCAAGCTAATGTCTAAGTGCACAGACAAATCAGACCTGGTGGACTTAGTACTAGGAAGGAACTTCTTTCACACATTGTCAGCTCTGAAGGTCCTCAAACCATTTCATGTCAAAGGGCCTAACAGAGCTTCCAAATCTACCTTTCCAGGTGTGCAGGAAATAAATAGAGGAATAGTTTAGTTATAGAAGGGACCCGTAAAAATTATCTAGTCTAACTGCCTGACCATTTAAGGTCCTTAAGGACCCCCAAAGTCTGATCCAGGTGCAGCAGCTCAGGGTGCCAGTGCATGGAGCCCCTGATTTAGGGCTGGAGAAACACCTGGGGCTGACCCATTCCCCCTCATCCTGCTAACGAGCTGGGCCTGCTTAGAAAAGACTGACAGCAGATCTCATTAAAGCATATAAATATCTCCCAGGGGTGGGTCTGACCCCTTCCTACAGCCACACGATGGGGTACCCACTGAGCTGGGAGAGCAGGATGGGGATGCCCACACCAAGCTGTGGGGGGAGCCTGGGGGCCCCATCGACCTCAGCACCGCTGCCCCATCCCCATCCTCGTTCCTGTTCCCATCCTCACCCCTATTCCCGTCTGCATCTCCATCCCTGTGCTCATTCCCACTCCCATCTCTGTCCCCATCTCTGTCCTCATCCCCACCCCCGTCTCCATCCCTATCCCATTCCCTAACCCCTTCCCCATCCCCATCCATCCCCAATCCTCCTCCCCGCTCCCCCGCTCGCCGCCGGTGCCCTGTCCCGGCGCTGTCCCCACCCCATCGGCGGGCTCGGCCCCGCTGGGCGGGCGCGCCGCCGGTTTCCATGGCGAGCCCCCGCCCGCGGTGACGCGCGCGGTGACGCCGCTCGGTGTCCGTGTGTCGGTCCGTCGGCGGCCGAGGGACGGGCGGAGCGGGCGGAGGGGGCGGCGCGGCCCCCGGGGCCGCCGAGCACCGACCCCCCGAGCAGCCCGAGGCCGCCGCCGCCGCCGCCCCCCGAGCCCAGCATGGTGATGGCCGAGCCCCGGCGGCCCCCGGCGCTGCTGCCCCGCGGGCTCGGCCCTGTCCGCGTCGGCTTCTACGACATCGAGGGCACGCTGGGCAAGGGCAACTTCGCCGTGGTGAAGCTGGCGAGGCACCGCATCACCCGCAGCGAGGTGAGGTCGCTCCCGCCGCATCCCCGACCCCCCGTCCCGACCGCCCGTCCCGCCCCGCGCTCCGCTGCCCCCTCGGGGAGGGAGCCCGACCGGGATGGGGGCACCCGGCTCCAGGATGGGGGTACCCCCTCCGGGGATGTACCCGGCCCCGGGATAGGGGTACTCGGCCTCTGGATAGGGGTATCCCCCCGGGGGATGGCCCTAGCCCCAGGGATGGGGGTACCCCACCAGAGATGGGGGTACCCGGCCCCGGGGATGGAGCCAGCACCGGGTTGGGGGTACCCAGCCCCAGGGTGGGAGCGTTCCCCTGGGATGGGGGTAACCCCTCCGGGGATGGAGACAGCCCCTCCTGGATGGGGGTACCCGGCCCCCGGGATGGGGGTACCCGCCCCCGGAGCCGGCTGTTCCCTTGCGCGCCCCTCGCCCGCTTTTGTCCCTCCTTCCGGCACCTCCCGCGGCGAAAGGGATATTTTATTTTATTGCAGCAGCCGGGTCGGTTTTTCCTGCTCTCATCTTCCCCGGGAAGGGCAGGATAACGCCTCCTCCCAGCCCTTGTGGCTCAGGCCGCGGGCGAGTGGTCGGGGATGTCACCCCCCCAGGGATGGCACCCTCCCGGACCCCGAGCATCCTCGGGGTGTGAGCAGGGCAGGCAGCTGCTGGGTGAGCTGGGAAGGTTCAAACCTTGTGTCGTGCCCGCCGTCATGCCCTGGGTATTTCACGGTGTCCTGACCTGGCCGGTGCTCGCAGATGATGAGCAGAGCCTCTCCCCGGGTTACCCGCTCCAGCAGAGGAACTTGTGTGTGTGTCCTGAATCCTTCCAGCCAGCATCCTGCAAGTTAACCAAATTCAACCATTTTTAGTCTCTTTGTTTAACCGCCCCCGTGTATTACCCGGTGATTATTGTTAATACCTGGTGCTTTACCTAAAACGAAAAAAAAAAAATGATTGTCAGTCTGGGTGGATAAAATGTAGTCATGTTCACTTTAAAAGGAGGAAAAAAAAAAAAAAAAAAGGAAGTGTCTGGAGAGAGTAATGGCTCTGAAAGATCAGCTTTCTCCTATATGTTGCTCTGAGGTAGTTTTAGTCACTACACCTAGAGGTAAGGTTTTTGTGAGCCTGTGTTCTGGTTGATCTCATTGTTTGCTGAGGAAGAGGCTGCCGTGCTGCTCTGTAACCTGACAAAAGTCATTTACAGTGTTCCCTGAAGAACAAAGTGAAAACTGAAAAGACCTGGTGGGTTACTCCTCATCGTGGTCTCTCTGTGTGGTAAAATCACAAAGCAAACCCGTGGTGCTCTCCCCACACAGGGGTCCATGAGCTTTGCGTCCCAGGGGTTCAAAGAAATTTCTCTCATTTCTCCAGCTCGTAACAGTCTCAGTTCCTTTCAAGCCCTTCCTTTGCTGTTCCTGAAGAGCCAAGCAGAGCCCTGGCAGTGTTAGTGCTCCCTTCCCAAGTTTGCTGCCAGATGCCAAACTTGTAAAGGCTCCACTCGAAGATATTAAGTTGTCACTTGCTCTTTAGTTCTCATTTCTTTGGCAGACTTTGCGATGGGGGGGGTGAAAACTTTCATCTTTGTTTGTATTGTATGAACGTATGTTTGTTTAGCATTGTTCAAAATAACAAAGGTTACAGAAAACTTAGAGCTCAGCAGCTCCCCAGCTCTGGTATGATTTTATTTCACCCATAGCCTAAGAAATTGCAGAATTCTAGTGCGTTCTGATACAGTTTTGATTTTATTTTTTTTTTAAACCAGCTTTTCTATCCAGTCTGAAGCCTCTATGTTTTTTTTTTTTTTTACTGCTGATTTGCCCGTGTTGGAGATT